TGCTGCAAGGCTTTTGACCCGCACCCACAGGAGAGCCCACATTACCCCTGTCTTAAAGGCCTTACACTGGCTCCCTGTCTCACACAGAATACATTTTAAAATTCTGGTGTTGACTTTTAGGGCCCTTCATGGTCAGGCGCCTGAATACATCCAGGGCCTGATCCATCCTTATGTCTCCAACAGGAGTCTGAGGTCCTCTACTCAGAACCTGTTGATGGTCCCCCGGACTCGTTTCAAAACCAGAGGAGACAGATCCTTCCAGGCAGTTGCTCCTCGCCTTTGGAATGAGCTTCCTCAGTCTCTGCGTATCGTAGAGACTGTTGATGATTTTAAGTCCCAACTAAAGACACATTTGTTTGGACAGGCTTTCTCGCACCATTGTTCATAGGCCTCTGTGAATGTAAATTGTGTTTTCTGTGTTTGTTTTATCTGACTTGTGTGTGTATTTTGTATTTTAATGTGTGAAGCGCTTTGTGACCCTGGTCTGTGAAAGGCGCTATACAAATAAACTTTACTTACTTACTTACTTACTTACTTACTTACATTCGCGGAAAAATTGCCGAGACCGGAAGTGACAAGTCGAGCAACGACGACGTCCGACCATGGATGTATTATGCGTCCGACGCCGGAGGGCGAAGGGGAACTCGGACGAACAGAAGACATCTCTCAGAATGAAGCGAGTACTGTGGTAGATCTCAATCGGCGCCAGAGTGAAAGAGGGGGTGCAGGGGCCTTTATAGAGGAGGGTCGCTGGTGATTGGAGCAAATTATTTTGATCTCTCTGGCGTGTGAGCTGGGGGTCACGAGTGATATCCCACTAGCGAAGTCCTAAGGGACGTAGCACCATGGCGTAGAACTTATCAGAGTTTTCAAAGAAGTGCATAGTTGGTTGAGGCAAATAGCAGTTAGCCTAGCCAAATGCTAAATAAAACCATGGATCCATTATATTAACGTAAGGACCAAACGATGCACAAATATAGGCAAGTTCCTTTCAATGTTTAAACAATGGAAGAAGAAAAATATGACTGAAGATTTCTGAGAATAATGAAATAATACTAGCTCAAAATAACTTGATTCTAGTTTAAAAACATTTATTTAAGTTTTATGTACTTATTTCTTAAACATTTTTGATGTTTTCTTAAAATATAGCAACACAAACTTATTTTATCAAAACAAGAAAAGTCTGAAAATAATAAAAAATACTAAAAACACTTATAAACTCACTGCTCAGACTTTTCTCTCTCTGAGCTAAACTTGCGTGACAGCTGATGGTGTTTCATAATAACGTCCTAAAGTAATCATAGAGCTTTGATAAGATCTATGGTAGTGTCAGCGAGAAATAGTATTGGTTAGAAGTGATTGTGAACAACAGAAGTATGTATACATATTAATAGCGACGTTCAACTGTTTACAGAACATTTTAAATCGCAAAATAACGACGCTCCTGAATGCAACATTACCCACGAGTCCTTTCTGCTCACGGATCAATCCATTCTGTTATCAAGGGGCCGGAAAGTATGGTCGAAACATACAGTTTTTAACTTACATGCCAAATTCTGTTTTCTGTTGTATCACAATAATTTTTAATATGGAATTTCACATTCAAATATATAGAAAACATTCATATATCTAGTTATTTTAGCGATTGAAACATGTGCGACCTCCCCCCTGTTTGTGTAATAATAAAGCAGTCCGTCGTGTTATGCTTTCAAGTATAATTCACATAAAGTAATGTATTTAAAGAATATTTACAGACACAAAATGCTCAATTTACTACGCGTGCTCAAGTCTACAAGTCCAGTGTGTGTCCAGCTGTCCAGTTCTATACAGGCCAACGGGGGCGTCCATGACCATCACCAAACCATATCCTGCTCTGTTTATTTTGCATTTCCTCTGACTTTCATGTCTGTGTTTAATTAATATGTTTTCACTTTATAAGATGGGTTCAAAGTGTAGTTCAGCGAACATTATGCAGCAGTGTTGTCCGGATGCAAGGGGTCGCTACAGAATCCAGCACTAAAACTGCAGAGAATTCTATGGATTTCAGGTTGGTGTATTTTTTGCACCTATATAACTTAAAATAATAGAGCCATGAAATACTAAATGACTTTGTTTTTGTTACAGCAACATTCCTCCACTGCCGGGGCAGGACAGTCTGAGATGGGGTGGGAACAAGTTTGAAGATTTGCCTATAGTTTATGTAAAGGCCACGTATAACAAGTAGGTGTTAATATTCACGTGTGTTTTTGTCTCATTATGGGATTTTTAAATAGTTTTATAAATCGTGGGGGTGACAGCGGCTCAGTTGGTAGAGCATTGTTTGAGCCCACTGTGTAGACCTTCTCCACTGACTCCCACTGATGTCTGCTGCCAATGTGTCCTTGGGCAAGACACTTAACCCTTAACACTTTGCCTGATGCCCCTGCTGAAAGATCTCACCACCTACAGGAGGATCAGTGATGGGCTGGTGCTCAATGAATTGGGTGCCGCTCTGATGGCCACCCCCACATCTCAAATGGATTAAGGGGAAGAAAATAGATGGATGGAGATTCACATATAAATGTTTTTAATCTGTTTTCAGCACTTATATTCAGCTGACCGATGGTGCAGGAGCTTCTCTGGTCAGGACCTCATGTGGGACTGAAGGATTTAAAAAATATCAAAAAAATCGACTCCCGTAGCTGCTCAAACTGCTGCAATTTCTGCTTCGTTTTATCACTAGTTTCCACATGCATTTCTTTTAGTCCAACACATCTTTAGATCAGCTTTATCAGACAGAAAAGTGACAAAAGAGGACTAAAGTGTCAAATGGTGACACACATGGCTCTTTCTTACATGAAAAAGTTGACATGTTTACATCATAGACTTTCTTATAGACTTTATGGACCAGCAAAATGTAGGTAGCGCAGCTTTAAATAACAATTGGCAGCCAATAACAAAAGTAAGAATCTGTCCCAGTACAGCTGTTTGAGAAACACTTGGGTCAACATTGTTTTGGTTATGAGCAATGGCCATAGGTCTTTATTCCCACTAGAGGGCGACAAATACACATTTTAAAATCGCCAATGCTTTGTTGAAGCTTTAAAACGTGCAAAGCTTCCAGTTGCAAAAACATGAATAAGAACAAAAGAGAGGAGAGAAGCCAAGTTAATAGTTATTATAATTTTATTGTAACATTTCATCAGATGCAAAGCCCTTTTAACGGTTGTCCCTTTGAATTGACATCAGAATTATTCTACAATACATTTTCAAACTAAACACTTTAGTTTTGGCACAAAGACGACTTCAAGTTAAACCAGTTTACAAGACTCGGTATGTTCAGATGTTTCCACTGATAAACGGATCTATAAAAAGGTGTGCCAGAGAAAGTGAGCACATTGTAATGAAGGCATAAGCTTTACATCTACAACCATCAACTCTGGCACCAACACAGGCCACTTCAGTCGGACAGTAACCTACAAGAGCAACAGTTTTGGGGACGTCTCACCAACTGGTTTAGTTAAGAATAAAAAAATAAAGTCAGAGGACATGTCCCACAACATAAAACCCGTTCTTCAATGAAAGTGTATATGAAACTGTGGTAAAGTAAGTGACAGAAAACATCACACGTGACCAAGTGGAAACATCGTCATCACAATCGCCTGCACAACCGTGAAATCGAGCACATTTAAATGACATGAACTAGAAAAGACAGATTTTATATTCACATCTTGTGGAATGGTGCGTTTGAAGCGTTAAGGCGGCTTAACTTTGTGTTCGCTACAAACAGATGAAGTGGTTACAACAAAATTATTAAAAAGACAGAAGTGAAGCTACACAAAGATAATAACAACTAACTTTACATTAACATTTTATTATCATTAATAAAATAAATATGTATATATTTACACTTAGTTGATCCGCCAACTTTAGCAGCTTGATGCAAACATGAAGAAGAACTATTATTTTTGTGGCACAAGTTCTAAGTTCACGTGTTTGTACATTTCCAATTTAAGAAGGAGCATTGCACAACTTTTCCGAGGAGCGCAGTGCATGTTATTTAACTAGAGATGTTTTTACTGCACGAAAACCAGATCTCCTCCTAACCCCAACGACAGACATGACTTAGCCTCTTCAACAGAGACGCAACAGAGTTTAAAACCAAACTGCAAAACATTCCAGACAAACAGACTTAAAAACGGACTCTAGCAAAAGTCCAACTGTCCGCCCGGCTAGTTCTGCAATGCACCTTCCAGTATAAAAAAAAAAAGCGACGGTAACAAAATCTTGCACATTATAACCACAATTAATATATATAAAAAAAAAAAAAGAAATGTGAAAAATATTACTTCACACACCTAAAAAAGCAGTTTCCACAAATCTACTTCACGGAAATGCACCAAAAAGTTCCCTTTCACAGCACAATTATATCAGTGCATGTCGAGAGGTGTGAGACAGTGGTCCATCACAAACGTAAAAAACATGACCTCCAGACATTACCCATCGCTAAATACGCACACGCTAATTCCCCTAGCTCCAATGTGTCACGATTACGGTCCTTTTTCCCCATTTTTTTCTCCAACAACAGCACATTAAGTGAATAAAATCAACACCCTGTCAACATGTAAACGCACCCAGTCACAGTAATATTCCAGATTTAGTCGTAGTTTGACGAGCGAATAGAAAAGGGCGCGGGGTTTGGAACAGCTGTGGTCATTTTGGCAAACACTGAATATACATTGGGATGTTCAAATTAACAACGAAATCTAAACGATGTCCTTCAATTTTTCCTTCCATGCTCCCGTAGCTGTAATATTATCCATTTCTTTACACGTTCCTCATATCTATACTTTTATCTAGTAGTATTTTGGATAATGATATATTGTGCTATTTGCAAAATCAGCCTGGCTAAAACGGTTTTGTATCATGCTTCTATGTCTTTTGGTTTTGAAACACACCTTTTTATAATGTTGAAATTATGTTTTTTTAAATGGCACAGTCTGTACAGAGCATTCTAGTTTTTACTCTTTCTTTGCCTTGGTGTTGCCGCTGCTGCTGCTGCTGCTGCTGGATCCCTTGAGGTAGGTCTCGTAGAAAAACATGGCGAACAAGATCAGATAGCTCAGATACATGAGACACCCCCACGTGATGTTGTGCATGTTGGACGGGCAGTGGGCGTCGCTTAACCAGTTGTAAACCAGCACCACCACCGTCAGCCCCATGACCATCTGGAGGATCTGCATGCTGGTGATGAACATGGCGCAGAAGCGGGGAATCCGGATCCCGCCGGCTCTGGCCGCGTAGTACGTGTACATGAGGGCGTGGACGAAGTAATTCATGGTCATAAACCAGCCGCCGCCGGCCACCTGGTCCTTGTAGGAGAACCAGGAGTAGAGCAGCACGGTGATGTGATGGTACCAGTGCAGGAAGATCAGCCGCTGTTTCCGCAGGACAATGAAGACTGTGTCACCTGCAGAAGAAGACACGGCGTCAGAGTGGCCACAAAAACTGTTTAGGAATGATAAATACAATAATAGTTTGCATTTAAAACATTATCCCCAACGTTGCACAGGGAAAAACATTTTATTTTTAAGTACTGTAAATTATATACCACTTCATAACAAGCTAAAGAGCAGGGGTCTCCAACCTGTAGGTCGGGAGCCACCAGTAGCTCACCACCTTCTTCCAGGTAGCTCGCCAAAAGGATTTAGAAATGAACAAATCAAATACTGCATTATTATTGTAAACGCACTAGTAACAATGCAATGATGAATAATGATTATACCCAATATCAGGCTCGTTCACAGCAATAAATCACAATTATTTCCCGGGGCCGCTTAAAGGAGTAGCTCTCTGCCTTATGGTCCCAGGAAAATAGCTCTCTGGGTGAAAAAGGTTCGAGACACCTGCTATAGAGATGCGATGGTTATAGAATTCTACGATTTTTACAATATGCCTTTTTTGTAGAGACTGGGCTAGTTCCGGATGCACGAGTCGAGGTGGAAACAACTTACAAACACGAAACTGAATGAGAAACTGTTTTATTTGAGTCTATTTACAAAAAAAAAGCAGAGTTACAGCTGGATGATCAGTGAGGATAAACTTTATAAAAGATCTATGGTGTAGGTATGTCACGAGTTTGCACTTTTAGCACTGTTTGTGTTTGCAACTTAAAAGATAAAATAGTTTTGTTTGTGTTTATTTTCTGTTTTTTTTTTTTTTTCATTGTTATTGTCCGTCTATTATAGTTTCAAAAAAGAAAGAAAAAAAGTGGCCTCCTGAACCTCACGCTACTGTCGCTCAAAAATTAAAAGCATTAAAAAGGGGTGAGGCGTTAACCACTCTGCCACTGAAGTATTGGACACGACATTCCCCGTGTGTCGACAGACCTGTGTGCTCATCCAGCTGCGCGTTCAGTAAATCTGGGCCTAAATCTGCGTTTCTCGCTCGCCTCATTTCCGTCTGTACAGTTGCCATCTCAGCATCTGGCCTGTGGTCCTGTGTCTGACCGAGATCGGGACTCGATTACTCCACAGACAACGGAAGAATCTCTGAAGCCGCAGGAAGCTTTTAAGATAATGGTCCGCTGATACATTTACCACGAGCTTCCCCAGAGTCGAGCTTAAATCTGAGCCGTTTAATGTATAGTATCGACTTCGTTTTGCCGATCCATTTATGCAGAACCAACCCCAAGCAAAAGGGTAAAACACAACTTTTGAATTCATTGTAGATTACCACCATGTTATATTTTAGTCTTCAGCTACTTTTCATATTGTGAAGAAACTTTTTAAGACCGTGCTCACCCCCTAGCTTCCTGATTGGTTGACAGTAATTCAAACCGTTGCAGGCTCTAGTCATTGGTTTAACCGTTCTCCTCCGGCAAAAATCCTACTGGTCGTGGTCATGTCAAGAAGAGAGGGTTTTAAATATATTATGATTGAAAAATACTTACAGTACATCAGGGGTCTTTAAAATGTTTCAATCTGAGAGCAACTTTTATAGAGATCTACTCCTTTTGGCAGTTGTAATAAAAGTCTATGTAATAATTATGGAAACATGGAGACCACATGTAAAATATATATATGTAATACCATAATACTGTATTGATGGACCATGTGTTCTAAATCCTTGATAGAGCTTCTGGTAGCCTCCGAGCCAAATTTGTGTATTGAGCAAATGCACTGCAAAACGTGGTGAAAAATAAAAAAAAATACTAAAATGTTCCTAAATGTATCTTAATTTGAGCACATAAGATACAAGAAATGTCTCTCTTGGAATGAGAAAAGAAACAGCTCTGGAAATGAGACTAAACGGCTTTGTCCCATTGGTGAATCGTGTTTAGACAGTCAGAATGTGCTCAGATTGGGGTAAAATAATTCCATTTAAGCATTTCTTTCCTCATATTTCATCTTTTTTTTGCAGTGTGTCCATGTATCTGCGAATCATTCATGTATCGGACACAGAGCCGTCCTTCAGAGGGACAGAGGAGGGGGCTTCTTACCGAGCTCCGGGGCTTTGCTGAGGACGAAGGCGTAGGCCCAGAGTTTGGTGAGCGACGAGTGGTAGAAGCTGATGTCGCACACGGACTGTTTGAAGCCGCTGGTGGTGAGGACGTGCATCATGTAGAGGCCGGTGCGCACGGCTCCCACGATACTGAGGACGACAGGACGGACGTGACAATGTGCACCAGCTCAACAGGTTTGTACTTTGACTGTTCTCATTATGACAGCCGGAATGAGTTTAAAAGTGCAGCCTTTTCAACCTGGAATTCCGTATTTCACGCAACCAAAGTAGGTCAAAGAAAGAGCAATTATGTCTGTCACCACTAATTATGAGGGATGAGCTCATTTAGATTATTCAAGTAAAACCGGCACAACACATATTTCAAATATCAATCAGACATAAAACGTTTAACTTTTATCGCTGCACCATTGAGAGTTTGCTTGTTGGTTCTGTTGGTTCTGTGTGGTTTGGAAACATCACAGACAAAGAAAGGAGAGCTCTAATCAAGGTGCTCCGCTCTGCAAAGAGGACTGTGGGCTGTGAGCTGTCTGTTCTGGAGGTTCTTTATAAATCCAGACTTTTAAACCAAGCTCTTAGAATAATCAATGACTCTTCTGGCCACCCTGGAAAAGCCATGTTCCAGCTTCTTCCCTCTGGCAGAAGATATCGTTCTCTGAGATGCAGGACATCTTGATATGCTAACAGCTTCTTTCCACAAACTGTTGTTATCAGTTTAATCAGAGCACTTTAATGATCTTGCACATGTGACAATGTTTTACCGTTTTGTTGTTTTTTTTTCTGTGCTTTTAACCTTATTTTATGTATGTACTTGTCTTGTGCACAGTGGAGACTTTTGCAAATGTATTCCAATGTGGTTTGACTGCAAATGGCAAATAAATAAATCTGGAACAACTACACTGGAAAAAAATGATAAATGAGGTAAATGATGGTTTGAGTCGGGTGGTTTTGATCCAAATTTGAGCACTTGTGTAAAAACAAGATTTCCAAATGGGACGAGCCATATATCATTTCAAGAATTATTACTTCTCATTCCAAGTGAGACATTTTTTGTTTGCTTTCAAAAACAAGATCGTTTTGCTTTGTCCCATTCACAAACCTTCTTTTAAAGGCAGTCAGAATGTGCTCAATTAAGATACATGTCAAATTTGAGCCATTTCTGACTTATTTTTCATAACTTTTTGCAGTGTACATGGTTTGAAAAGGGGTTGGATGAAGCACAGGCTTTTTTGATTCCAACCTCGTAACACATGCCACACAATATAATGCTAGAATAATATCATGCAGGAGAATTCAAACACACACACAATATATTGCTTCCTAATACACATTACGATAAATGATTCTTTGAGACAACTTTTTGCCGCTGATTTAAGATCAATGCAGCAGGATACCGCTTTTCTTTACTGGTGAGCGACAAATGTTATTTATTTGTTCCTTCCTGTTTACAACAAATATTTGATCATGCAAATATCAGTCAGGCAAAAACTGAGCAACATTTACCTAAAAATGGCGAGGCTGAAGGACCACAGAACCAGGGGGCGGCGCAGGTTCAGCTTCGGCCTTTCCTTCATGAAGTGTTGCCCGGCGAAAACCAGAGCAGCGTACAGGCCGCAGAACATGAAGGATGAGGTCCTGTGGCGGAAACAAACAGAAGAAGAAGAAACGATATTTATGACTTTACTCAAGAGCTGTGAAGAAATAATGTGTCGTTCAAACACAGACCGCACAAGAGACGTCCAAGATGCCTCAAACTGTTTAGTATTTTTAAAGACAGAGATGGAGGATATTGTACTTTACTTTGAGTACTTGTTGGGTTATTTTATTAGTTTTTGCTTGCGGATGCAGGAGAGTCTAAGGACAGAGGTGATGATCCAGGACAATCGACATTCAATGACATTTATCAACATTTTTATTGTTTTATTTAACCCTTATTTATCCAGGAAAGTCCCATTGAGATTAAGAACCTCTTTTTCAAGGGAGTCCTGCCACATTTATGGACATTGGTCTCTGCCTCTTATGGACCAATGGCTCTACGTGTTCTTTATCATTGCATTTCTTGTTCTTGAACGGTCTGATCTGGTTGTGTGTTCAAGAATAAATTGAAGTGAACTTGCCGAGCTTCTGTACTGCGGTAAAATGAATTGCACGACAACTAGAGCACTGTGTGAATTGTGGCACATTTAGGGCTGCTCCAAAGCGACTTAAATGATTGAACGTGTCTGAAAGCTGAGTTGAATAATACACACTTGTCAGACGTGTGCGCTCGGCAGGAACCACTCTTACAGCTCAGCGAGACCAGAGAGCGGCCAGTTCACGTTGACAAGGCACATTAACACATCACTGTTGTCTACGTTAACATTAAAACAAGGATCAGGGTGAATAACAATACATCCCAGCAACACCCAGTGCATACGTGATGAAACGGGCGGGAGAGGGAGTCAAAACGATCCCGATACCAGGAGCCGATACGGATACACACCCCTGGTATCGAGGCCCCATACTGGTATTGGTATCTGTTTTGACATTTGTAAATTATCAGTAGTGTCTGTTAAAGTAAAGCACCTGGACAGGCCTGTGTATTTAAAAGTAAGTTTAAAAGATATATCGGAGAATCAAAAAGTCCAAACACAAGAATATAGAGTCATTGGTCCATAAGAGGCAGAGACCAATGTCCATAAATGTTGAATTTTCAGAGTCCTGGAGCCGTCACCACTTATATCAACTTGCCTTTGTGACGAGATGACATACTTCTGCGGCATCACATTGTAGCAGTATCAATCCATCTCATATCGAGCAATTAGCAATGCATCACTTATAATGACATCATCACATGCACAAACTAACACGTTTACACGCCTGACCGAGCAGCGGTTACTCACACACACAACCTCATCGAGTGACGCATGTATATCTGTGTGTGTGTGTTTTATTGTAATGTTTCCATGTATTTTAAAATGAAAAAGGCTGAAAACTGATTTTAATATAATTGTAAATCTTAGCAGAGCAGGTCATTTTTATATGAATTATGCACTTAGTAAACCTGCTAGGGATGAGAATTAGCTATAGTCGCTGTGTCCAGTCTGCTCCATGCTCCATTAAAATAGATAAAAACATGAATAAAACGTGTCCAGGAACTACAAGTGGACGCTAGCACTGCACTAGTATTTCTTTTGGACATATATTTATTGTGCATTTTCCCGGATCTAATCCTTACATTAAATTCAATGCAGAACCTTAGGGCCCCTATGCACTTTGAACTTGACCGTCAGAGCTGCCAGCTGTGACTATGACGCAACACAAACGAATACATTTAAACGTATGGGACTTTCATGTGTTTTATCAGATAAGTTAGAGCTCTATAAGATCATTGCTGTTGCATAAGTACGTTGCAGAATTAGGGATGGATGGACCAGATTCTTAATTATAATAAGACATTGTGTTGTGGTTTGTTTTGTGTGACAACTGGGAGTAAAATCGATTTGAGAATTATTTCGAAATCTATGCAATTTGTGTAATCAGCCAGATTTATCTCCATTGATACTGCTTGTGCGGGATTGGAGAGATTAGTGACACAGTGACCACGGTGCCAGCTCGAGGGGTGATGGCCGCAGTGTCGCTGTGGCATCACTACCGAATAACCTTTACCACGATTACATAGCCAGTGTGCGGACGCATCACTGCACCGGATTAGAACAAGGGTCAAGGTTAATAAACACAACCAAGTTCAAGAAGCAGTCTGCCCGCGGTTTTGAACATATTGTCCCCAATGCTATTTATAAAAATCAATAAAAAAAAGACGTGTGTGATGCTGGTGTAAGGTCGTGGAGCACTGGGGGGGCAGAGCGTGCATGAGCGGTGGTTTGGGCATAGACCAGATGACTAATCCAGATTGGCAGAATACATATTAGATGAGAGTGGATGCTTGACCCATTTAAGTGTATAGGGGCTTGTGGTATTTGTTCCCAGTGTTTCCTGATGGAGAGCAGGAAAAGCCTCCAGGGCAGATTTCTAGAATGAAAGCAAAATGATAAAAATGTAGGTTAAGTCTTTCACTAAATTGATGCATTGTAATGGAAGCAATATCTTTATGGGGAGCTCACAAACAGGATAAAATGTGTATGTTTCCGACTTCTAATCAATGGTGGTTTATCGTGTCATTTCTCATTGACATGTCTGGTTTGGAAATCACTTCTCCTTGGAATGAAACCACGAAAAAAAAATGCTGAACTATGTCTTTTGGTGTTTGTAATTTTGGGAATAAAGAAGTTCCAAAGTTTGTCATTATTTATTCTGGGTTTAACTAGTTTGAGATGAGAACTATTCCCATGTGAAGAGGCCGTTTAAAGCAAATTAGCAGATGATGTAATATATACGAGATGTATACGGGACGTTGATATAAATATGTCATGACTATTTCACCCGTTAGTTTTAGATTGCAAAGTTAGACGTAAGAACTGACCCTGGATCAAAGATTTATGTCACTCTCTGTAGCTTGGAAACTTGTTTTTTCACCTCTCAGCAAAAGGAATGATGCTGAGGTAAGAGCAACACATGTAAAAACCCAGCCCAGTGTTTTAGTGCCTGTGGTTGCAGATGCTATGTGTTTGAACAATAAAGATATGTGCTCAATAACTGCATAACTGAGAAGATCTGAGGGTAAAAGGTTGAGTTGTACTTGGCACCTGGTTTGATAGTTAGGACCAAGCCTCCCTGACGTAAACCAGTTTCTGTCTGAGTCGATGATGATGAAGCAGCAAAAATGTTGTCCTACCAGGTTTTACGCACTCCCTGCTTAAGTCATTAGACAATAGGAAAAGGAATGTGTATCTGTTTACAGTACTGCAATATGGCATTCAAAATAACGTGGATAGAATCTGGATCTAAGCATAAATTATATATGATCATGTTCTATGATGTCTCAAATATCCTTTAAAAAAATATATAATATTTATTATTATTATTTTTAAATACGTCCTTAACCCCAAAACGCACGCTTTACGTAACTTAAGGTCGCTCACGTGAACTGGGCTGCCATGGTACCCCAAATTGATGATGACAAGCGAAAGGCAAAAAAACCCCAGCGTACGTCCTTTACGCACGTCCTTTACGCACGTACAGGCTGCCACAATGATGCACTGCTGCGTTCTGACCCCAAATATACAGCATTACACACATATATATAAAATAAAGTTACCAGTTTTCCTGCATCCATTCAAAAGCTCGCCTCTCATCAAAGCGTCTCTCGAAGTCGTACGCGTTGAGCTCACTCTCGTTCATCTTCGCCAGTCTCCGCGTCTCTCACTCTCTGGAAGTTTCTGGAACGGGACCGACGGGTTCTGGAAGCGCCGCGCGTGGACTGCGGCGTGCTGAGGCTCTCGGAAGAGTTTTTATCAGCGGACTGTCTGGGAAACAAGAGGGAGGATGCAGCGCCACACTTGTCCAACTGACGCACACCGGTGGTAAAACGTGCACTCAAAATAGCGCTCGGCCCGCTTGGTTCTTTCAAAATAAAACACAAGACAACGCAATATTGAAAGTAAGCAAGGCAAGGCAAGTGTATTTGTATTGCACAATTTATACTCAAGGCAATGATAATAATAATAATAATAAATAAAAAGAATGATGAAGATGATGATAATAATAATAATAACAATACATTTTATTTTTATTACACCTTACATTTTCAGGAAGCCTCAAAGTGCGTCAGATTAAAACAGTTAAAAGCTCATAAAATCTCTTATACGCCTGATTAAAAAGGCCTCTCAAAGGCATTAAATATAAATGTTCACAGTACATGTAAAAAGAAGGACGACAATTGTATGCACAGTCAAACAGAGCTGTTTTTAACCTGGATTTAAACATTGTCAGAGAAGAAGCATGTCTCACATTTTCAGGAAGATTTTTCAAGATTTTAGCAAAAATGCAGCCTCTCCAAGTTTAACATGATGAAATCTTTTATTTGTCCCACAGTGGGGGAAATGTGGATATTGCAGCGTACGAACAGTAAGAGCTACAAGGAGAACACAAAATATACAATATAAGTAGCTGTACATTCTTAACTATCCACTTTACCTGCTGCTATTATTACCATTGATTATTCTGGTCATACTCTGCTGCTAAAGTACAATACCAACCACAAATAAAATAAAAATCTTATCTGATCTAACTATCTGTAAATGCTTCATAACGGCAGAAAGCAAATTTCAATGTATACATTTATTTAGTAGTGGATAAAGTGATAGTCAGTGGACATTCTGCAGTATTGCACATTGCTCATGATTGCAGTATTTACAGATGAGATGTCATGTACAGGCTCAGCAGTTCTCATTGTACAGTCTGACACCAGAAGGGAGGACAGACCAGCGAAACCTCTCCTTCTCACAGCGAGGTTGGGAAAATGTAGACTTGAGAATATCGTCAAAGAGCTTTGTATGTGTCTGTATAACTTTTAGCCACACTGAAAAGCTATTTCTTATCACACGCAAATGAAGTTAAAAGGTGGACGTGTTGTTTTATTGTGTAAACATTTAACTTCCGGTATTTCCGTGGCTGTGGGAGTAAACTTGACCACGTTAGAGCACTTTCCTCCCCGGTGTTGAGGCGATGGATCCGAAGGAGGCGGGGTTTGTTTCATGACGTAAAATCGGCCATGGAAACCAGCGTAGTGATTGGTCGAAGTTATTGTAAAGCTCCGCCCAAATGCCCCTTCCGCAATAAACTGTTTTCTGGTACTGGAATCTGAACTCTGCACTTCAAATAAAATAGTTTAAACGCTAGAATGATACTTTAAAGACCGATGTATCTTCTAGAGAGCTTTGCTAAAGAAAATCAAAATCATATTCATCAACCAGACTCATTTTTTATTTTTTCAAATGTCTCCTTGGGGAATATTTCACAGTTTATGACTCAGATTCTCTTATCTCTTCAAGCCAATCCTACAATTATGACATTACACGCTCAGAACAGAGAATAGTGAGTCATAAAATAGTTGGTGTGGACTTATGTAATATGTAGTGCACGTGGAGGCGTTAGTTGGAAGCATAGACTGTAAATAACTGTTGTTTGGGAGATATTATTGTCTAGCAACAGGCTGTATAGAAATTGATTCTTATATAGGCTGCGTAAATAACTTAAAATTGTTTGAGGTCGAGTAAATAGGAGCAGCATTCGGAGTGTATCAGTGGCATGGGTGGTGGAGTTTGACACTCAGGGCAGAGAGCAGCTTCTGCATGGGCTGCAGCTGGTGACCTCCCTATACTCTCAAACTCAATGCCCCGCACGTGCCCTTTGATCCACTTCTCAGTTGAAGGCAGTCTGCGGTCTGGCCACAAGAGGGCGCGCGAAAACAGCGTGTCTTTATGATACCAATCTGCAATCTCAAGGCATTGGGACGTGACTGAGACGGCAGTTGTGATTGTGAATAGATAATTGTAAGTGTTTTTTTGTACTCAATAAAAAAAAAAACACATTTAATTTCTTTTAGTAGGCATATGTGTCTGGACCAAGATGTACAGCTCTTACTTTGTTGGTTAACTTACATCCATGTTATGTAACTGTCTACGTAATGACAAGTAGGTGACGCTATCCTCCAACATTACAGGTCATATCTGTGGAGAGGCGTCCCTGCTCCCTTGAAATGAAAAACGAAAGCAATAAAAAAAAAATCCAATATTGCATTTGTATATTTAGATTCAGAACAGATTCATTTTTTTGCCATTTGTAGTAAAACCACATTGGAATACATTAGCAAAAGTCCCCAGTGTGCACACAAAAAGTACATACATAAAACGACATTAAAAGCACAGAAATAGAACAAATAAAACAATAGAAAATTATCACTGTGAAATCGATCGGCTAAAAAAGTATCGATATAAGTGCAAGAACATTAAAGTGCTCTGTTCAAACTGAAAACGGCTCGTGAGAAGAAGCTGCTAGCATTAATGTTCAATCTGGATACGATGAGTAACAGATATATAGTTTATATGCAGGTGTTTGTCTGAAGAGATGGAAGCTTCTGTCCTCAGGGAACGATGGGAGGAAACTTTGGATTATATTAATGTGGACAAGTGTTAGTCATGCAGACAATGCATCCTCCCAAAGGAGATCTTAAATCATTATTAAATCATCTCAAGAAAATTAACTAAAGTGGACATGTTGTGGATGATATCTATTTGTGTATCTATATTTATACAAGGCGGGCTCAAGTAGACAAAAACATAAACACAACTGTCAGAATCAGATGCAGAATTAACAGGATGTCACGGATACGACTTTGTTGTGGTGCAAACAGGTTATACAAAAGTAAAAAGTAAAAATATGTGTATAAAGGCATGCATTTGAGAAATATGTATAGAATTGTAATATAAAAACATACAATGAACATTTAACAGTGCAGATAAAAGCAAGGAAATGAGAGATTCACTTAAAATGAAGACTCAAATTCATAAAGAGCAGGAACAGACACATGTGCACATCATGTTCTGCTGCTGTCTAATGCTTTATGTCACATGCCACAAGCAATTTGAGAATACAAAATACTTAATAACAATTGACTATTGGCTGACATCATTGATATTGTGATCACACTCTGTTGTGGTATGACACTTTAGCCTATAAAGACCTATAACCAACCTACCAAAAAGAATGTCACATCAACAAGGGCTTTAGAATAATTAACAATAATAATAATTTAAAACAGGTATCTTGACATGTTCAAAACCCCTTTAAAAAGTGTTATTTTGATAATGACCAAAGAGTTGGTGAGATAGCTGTCTCAAATGCAGCAACACAGAATTACCCAGCATCCATTGGACTTAAAGGAGATGAAACTTTGGGTAAGATGCCGTTAGGAAAAATGCGCAGAGGAGTCATTTTACATAGAGTCCCTTTAATGCACACGTCTCTATCAGCAGCAGTCATTAGTCGTTAAGAGTGTAATAGAGTCTCAGTCTCAGCAGCCTCCTTCACTGCTCCTGATGAGTAAATTCCCTCCGTGTGTTTATGAGGAGGCTCGCACTGGGCATGCTCACACGGTGGGGAGGGCGCCAGGGCAAGACGCCGCTGCCGAAGAGAGAGAGAGAGAGAGACAGAGAGAGAGAGAGAGAGAGTGAAGCAGGAGTTGTGATTTCTCTCCGACTCTATGAAAAAACACCGGTAAGGAGCTGTCCATTTCAGAACTGTTGAGCATCACGTCCACCTCCCCTGACGTCGTCACCAAGCATAGATACGCATAGATACTCATTTAAAGCCCTCGGTTTTTGTGGCAGGACCGTGCGTGAGGAGGCTGCAGAACCGTGCGTGGACCGCAGTGGAAGAACCCGTTACCTGCAGCAGACGCCGATGCAACAGTATCTGATCATGGTGCACATTTATCACCAGCGATCTGACGCCACACTGCAATGCTCCCATGCCTTTTTGGTAAGTACACACATATATCTTTAATTGCTTGTATATATACGCACTGATATATCTCCCCCCAAAGCTGTGTTGTTGTTGTTGAAGGGGATTCAAGTGCATAACAACTTGAGCCGTGTAATGACCTGCAGACATGGACTCAAATCTTACTGCATCACAGTCCAGGGCGCTGAAATACTGGCGCAAAGGTCATTTTCCGCGCAGACGCCGGTGTCATTGACGCATCTCGGCATCTGTGCGGGTCATTCCCAGGCAGCAATGCGCGAACAAGTTTTGTCCTTGACGGGAAAAGTTGGCGCTGGGCTGGTTTGTCAGAGGGATGGTATACGTGAGGGGAATTGGGATGCCCACCTGAATTAAAAAAGGATTGATGACAATATATGATTTTACAGTTGGCTGGTCTATAGTATACTGATTAGTTTAGTTTGTTTGTATCGACATTAATGGATGAATCATCAGTCTATGGTTCTGATTCTCCTTCTTTTTGCTGCATCAACATGTGTGGACATTAGTATTGTTTGTTTACAATAAAACTGCATAACCGGGTGAATCATACAGTCTATGGTTTTAGCAAAATCAACCTTAAGGCCAGGCTTCCTCCAGCATGTCAGCAATTGCAGGGTTACAATTTATGACTGAACCTGAACCAGCCTCAGACAAAATACAACACGACCTAATGGCACACACCTCGACCCCTCTCACAACCCACCGGTTTTGGAACATTCCTCTAAACAATCTAGAAAACCCAATGCATCACCTTTGATAAGTTTGCCTATAGCTCCACGCTTTTATAACAAGACATTTGTCACCGAAGACTGGCCCTCTCTCCGCCGTCATGGGCAGCTGGAAACATTTTGTCTTAATTTTCTTGCAGTTTATAAATCCCCCACGCCGCTCCCACTTTTTGGGGGTTCGGTCTAGACTCCAGACTTTTACCCCTGGCTTGTTTGGGCAGTGGATGTGGGGGTAGAGCTGAAAGACTGTATTCCTTTCACTGTTCTCGTACAAACAGTCACACAGGGAGCCAGTACAC